TCAGCGACCCGACGACACTCGACTTCACCCGGCAAAATTTGCCCAGTTTATGGTTAGTAAAGAGTTAACGGGAAAGCCGACGGCCGAAAATGTCGTGTGCGGGAGGATGTTATTCTCGCATAACCCCCATTCGGAGAATGACTTGACCGGCAGCATAAGGCCGACGAAGTTGCGTCCGTGCCGGTTTCCATCGATTCTGCCTCTCATCCAGTGGGTTTTACGCCGGACTCACGTGCGGCGTGGGCACGGCTGGGTATTGCCCTCATTATCGGCTCGATCGGCAGCGTCGGCATGTGGTCGGTGGTGGTGGTCATCCCCATCGTCCAGGCCGACTTCGGCGCGACCCGGGGCGCGGCGTCGCTGGCTTTCACCTGCACCATGCTCGGGTTTGGCCTCGGTGGTGTGGCAATGGGCAAGCTGTCGGACCGCTTTGGCATTGTGCCTGCGATCGCAATCGGTATCGTCGCCATGCTGTTGGGCTATGTCGGTGCCGGCTATGCGGCAGCGCTGTGGCAATTCAACCTGATGCACTTCCTGATCGGGCTCGGCGCCGCCGCGACCTTCGGGCCACTGATGACCGAGGCATCGCACTGGTTCGATCGCCACCGCGGGCTGGCCGTCACCATCGCCGCCAGCGGAAACTACATCGCTGGCACATTCTGGCCCACTGTTGTCGAACGCGGCACGGCATATGCTGGATGGCGCGCCACACATATCGCGATTGGAATCGGCTGTACGATCGTCATGGCGATCGTTGTCGCAGTTCTGCGCTGGCAGATCGGCAGTGAAACCGTGCGCTCGCACGCAGATGCGCCGCCGCCGCGCGTCGATTTGCAGATCGGCACAAATGCGCTCACCGCCGTGCTTGGCATCGCGGCTATCGCCTGCTGTGTGGCAATGTCGATGCCGCAGGTTCATATCGTCGCCTATTGCGGCGATCTTGGTTATGGCGTGGCGCGCGGCGCCGAGATGCTGTCATTGATGCTCGCCTTCGGAATCGTCAGCCGGATCGGCTCCGGTTTCCTGGCCGACCGTATCGGCGGGTTACGCACACTGCTGGTCGGCTCGATCGCGCAGGGCGTCGCGCTGATGTTCTATCTGTTTTTCGACGGGCTGACGTCGCTGTACATTATCTCCGCGATGTTCGGCCTGTTTCAGGGCGGCATCGTGCCGAGCTACGCCATCATTATCCGGGAATCGATGCCCTCCAGCGTGGCCGCAACCCGCGTCGGTATCGTCATCTTCGCATCGGTTATCGGCATGTCGTTCGGCGGC